GCATGATCAGATTATAGACTAGACTAGCTCTCAGTCTGGATGTCACTATGGGACTTGGATACAAATACACATCTCTTACGAAATGTGGAGATGTTCACTGTTAGCCAAATGAATTACAGAAGCTCAGTTCCTAAGCAAAAGCTTAGCAGGCCACTGCTAAGCAAGGAGAAACAGGTATGTTGACTCCCCCCTCCCTATTCTGCTTCCCTGAGGTTTTCTTTCTAGGTCTGCAATGGAGGAGAAATTAATCTCTCCTCAGATGAATTGGATAAGCTTTTGTTGAGCTGAGCAGTTTGTTTCTTACTTCAGCCACAGGCAAAGCTCATCGAGAGATGACAATGTGTTGCGTATGAATTTTAAGGAAAAAACACCTCACACCTACTAGTGAACAGCAACCTGAAAAACGTTTTGGAATACGCAGGTGGGAGAAGAATAATTTTTAAACTCCATACAATTAAGAGCCTAAGAAATCATTGTTGATCAGTGGTTACATTCAGTTTCAAGCCAAGTTTAGTTTCTGAATATTTTTAAACTGATTTGCATGCCGTCATTTCATAAGGCCTCAAATCATCAAAGCTCATAGACACATGATTTGAAGCCCTTGCATACGCCACCAAATTGAATAGGATCATACATGTCATTAAGTGCTTTTCTGGTAATTCTTTGAATTTACAGGAATTTCCAGGTGCTTATTTAGGTCACAACAAATCTGAAATATTTTATTGTAATAGTTCTTCAGTAAAAGAAAAACCTAATGCAAAACTTCGCTTTCACTAATCATCAAGAAAGGTGTGTCCCACTATTACATGAGATTTCAACTACATATTAAAAGCCATTCTAGGACAAAAGAGAGTCATATATTGTAATAATCACTTTGCTGAGAAGGTAGATTGTATTGAATAGGATCGTTTATGTGTTGTCAAAATTTACTACATGGTTCAGAATTGATCAGAATTAAAATTCACCATAACTTAACATTTTGTTTGATCTTAAAGGTGGCTTGCACGTTATATACAAATAACTTGCTATATAAACTACCTGAAGAATTTATTTTATACTGTAATTTAGTGTCAAAGACTTAGAGACAACAGGAGTATGTGTGAATTGTTTTATGAGCACAGTGTAATCACTGTAGGGTGTACTTAATTATTTTCCCTTTCACTGAATATTTGGGTTCTCTTCCGAATTTTTTCTGCCTTTACAAGAGACGTAACACTTACTAATGTCACTCCTGGGGCAAACTATTGTAATTTAAGTTCCAACCCCTAATCTGCATTCTATGAATTAAGGTGTTTTATCTATTCAAAAATGCCTATACATGTACATGCCTGAATTTTGCTCATATAAACATTTAGATAGTAGAGTAATTCTGCAATATAGTACGTGCATTATGCACCTATGGTGGGTTATGGGGAAGTGAGTTATTTGAGTTCTTACATGAAAAGTGGATGTCTATGTCTCCTACACATCACACTGCTGCCAGAACAGCTATCCTTTGTGGCAAACACCTCTTGGCCTTTCGGAGCAGAATGTTCTCCAGGCAAACAAGTTGTCAGGCAACTTAATAATAAAATGGGTGGAAGGAACCAGTAATTTCAGCACTGAGTTGTCATGGCAAGAACCTGTACTATCCAGAAGGTAGAACTACAGTCATGTATGTATCTTCATCTTAGGAGGCAGAACTGAAGGAAGTAGAAGGAGTTAGGACCGCACGTATGATCTCCCATAGTGAGACCATAGAGAGCAAGGAAGCCACTATCTCGATTGGCACTTACTGAAGAGTCAGCACCACAGCGCTCTTACGTGAGATAAATACCAGTTTTCAAAACTGATGGTGCCACAGTGATGGGCACCAAACCACACCTTTTCTTTAAAGGTGGTTACAGCAGTATGTGCTGTGCTGTGGTGTAACCTGGCCATTTCCACACTGCATACAGCCTGCAGCTGCAGGTGTGCAAACCAGGGAACAAACCCCTGATTATGTGTGTGCATGTGGTCATACGGAGCAGCCGCTGCTTAGGCAGAGTCAGTAGCATGGCTCTGGAAATTGCAGCCAGCTGGTATGTTTTGTAGACACTGCTGATGTGGACAGATTGGTTTACCAGCTCTTTTTCCTCCCAGTCCATAAGTTCATCAAACCAGAAATCATTGTAAGGTCAAAACCATACAGATAGAGAACACTTCAAGATACTTCTGCTGTCTGCGACTGCAAAATTGCTGTTAGCTTGCTCATGAGGATGTTCCTCTGGCTCCTCAGCCTCCACGGGACTTCAAGAACCTGCCTTCTTGTCTTGCAGAGATGGAAACTTGTTCCCTAGAGGTGTATGTATGTTTCCTAAATTCTCCATGAATCTTGCATCTTTTGGTCCTATTTATGGAGGGTTTTTTTTTGTTGTGATGAAAGATCTGGGGCATAGATAAATGTCAGTGCTTGAACCATTAAAAATGAGAGTAATTCTCAAAGATTGTAAGGGAGGTATCACCTTTACCAAAACCTTCCCTGATTTAATAACAAGTGTTTACAAGGTGTTACCAGTTTTACAAATCCAGAAGCTATTAAAATGAGAAATTGTATAGTGTGCAATGGAGTCATCTTTAGCATAAATGGACTAATACCTTACTCCTCCCCAAACTGTTTCTTTTAATGCACATCAAATGTCTTGTCTGAATACTTTCTTTTCTTGTAGTATCCAAATTACAGCCAAGAAGGTTTTTGCACCCGCTTTTGTTAATGCCTATCTAAATACAGAAAGATTAATGATAGTTTTCAAGCTTGTTTGCTTAAATTTGTATAGTTGTCTTCAGTTTATCCCTGATAAGCCTGTGGTGTTGACAGACCCATTCCAGAGGTAAGCTGAAACTTCTTTGATAACTTGCTGCTAGGAATGGCAGCAGGAAATGCAGGCTACCTCTTCTTGTTTCTCTCTCCCAGGGGGAAACAGCATGTTTGTGCTTCCCCCCCCC